TAGACTATTACCAGCAATTTGACAAACACCATATTGAACTCAAAAATTATTTTTCAACTTATCAGATAATAAGGAAAGATGACATATAACCTCATTGAACCAGACTAACAAATTTTTTTTCTCAAGTGTAAATCTAAATTGTGATTCACAAATAATTGTGGGTTAGAGAACTCATGGACATGGATAATAGTGTGGTGATTTTGGCGGGGGAGCAGAGGGGTGGGTGGAGGTGGTAGAGGGCATAGAGGGATAGAAGGTGATGAAAAAATTACATTAAATTAAAATTTAAGAAATAGAAAAAATAATTATGGATCAGACTTCCATTCATACCACCCATCATTTTCTTAGGAAAAGTTTGTTGGAAAAGCATTTCACGTATTCCTGTCATATGTTTTCCTGGTTTGATAACTGAGTGATTTTTCCATACCCAGAAGAGACATTTTTCAGTGACCAAAGTGATCCTTAGGCGGGTTTTAAGTGGGCCAGGCAGGAAGCTCCATGAGGCTGGGGTTGTACCCTGGCACCAAGCATGGTGCCTTCTATAGATATGGGCACTCACCTAGTGTTAATATAGGGATGACCATCTAATATCTGTGGAATGAATGGACAGAGAAATCACACATTTGATTACCTTTGAAATTAGACTAGAAGCAGTTCTAAAGTGTACCTGTTTTTGTTTCAGAAAATCTAGTGGCTTCCTTCAGCCCTCTGCCTCGTGTGCATGTCATGCTCCATCATGAGCTATGAATTCTCTCCTTTAACAGGGATGTGTACCTTATGAGCAGAATTCTAAAGTGGCAAACATATGTGTTAAAGATGCATTTATCCTCAGTCATCACCATCTGGTCTGATCCACTGTTGCTTTAAAGGAACTGCTTGACTATAAATGCACCTCTAGTTTTATTTACATAATTTCAGCTATTAATAGAAAAAAAAAGCCCTAATCAAACTGTGGTATGTTGGAATGTTGGACAGATGATGTGGTTTGGCCCAGTGACCAATGTGAACTTGAGCAAAATTCATAACCTCTCCGGTCCTTCACTGATAAATAAATAAATATTTCAGGAGGCTGTTATAAGGAGTAAGAGCAACAAGAAACTGTAAAGTACTAGTACTTTACACACATAAGGCTTTCTGTTTGCTATTCAAATTCCAAGAGATAATAGCTGAGTTGTTGACTTTCCTCAGCCTGTGTCTCCATGTGAGATGGTTTTGACAGGAAATTACTGGGAATAGACATTTGGCCCATATTCTGCTTGTTACTAAACCTAGTCCCATCAGGATAATGCTTGATCGAAATGCTTGTGCCCCAGTGGAGAAATTTCTAGTGAAAATGTTTAGAGACTTATGAGATGAACTCCAGGGACTCACTCCATAGGTCACTTTTTTAGTTGTGATCCAACCGAAGACATTTATCTGTGCACCCATTTCTATCCTTTTATGGTTGATCTCAGTCTTTGATCTAAAATAATCTTGTGGCAATTTGCACTGGTTGTTAAAACAGCCCCAAGAACCAAAGGCGCCATTCCGAGTGCATTCAAATGGTCTTTACTCATGGACATTTGTCCTGGTCACTGATCCAGGGACAGAGGAGTACACTTTCCCAGCAGCAGGCCCCTTCAGCCTCTCAGGGAACCAATCCATGCTTCCCCCATTCAGGCAGTGCTTCTCACACTGGGGAGATGACACCTTTTCCAAGGGATACAAAAGAGGTATTTGAAGTTATGAGTACCAATTTTCCTAGTTGATAAATAGTGTAAAACATCATTCCTTTTATATCGAAACATAAGCTATGGGGCAAAATGCAGCATTTCCACGAATTTTTAATGTAAAACATAAGACTTAAAAAAAAACTCTGTGCTCGGTACATTCCTAGACTGTTCAGGACATTCACGGGCATCATCTGTGTTAGGTGCAGTTCATTGACAAGGTTGAGGAAGCGCTGCCCAAGTGCATCCTGGCAGCCCTCAGTTCCCGCATTGCCTCCCTGTAAAACACCAAAGTCGAAGTGTTTTTAGAGGAGCATTTTATTTTTTTTTCATAGCTGAGACCTTTGGCTTGGAAGTGCTTGGAATTGAAGGTTAAGCTTTCAATAGGATGTTCTTGAAAACTCTTGAAAACTTAAAAGAAATATTAAAGGGGAAAAGTTTTTAGGAAGAAATGCTCCCAGAGGGGATTGGCTAGGATTCCTAATCCAGGCAAGATTTCTAATATGAAGCATTCTGGGGCAGGGTTCTCAGGAGAAGGCCTAATGGACAGATGAAAGGTGGACATCAGTGAATTGGCAGGGAGATAAGACAAGCGCACTTGTGCAGACAGATACATTTTAAAAAATTGAGACTCAACAATATGGCATTAGAAGATAACTGCTTCATGAGGTTTGATATAAAGACAATTATTTGCATAACTTATTTGCTATTCATCTAACAGCAGATATACCTGCTTGACTTAAAAAACTATAGGTAGGGAATTCAAGCTCTCTAGATCAGCAGTTCTCAACCTGTGGGTTGGGACCCCTTTGGCGGTCGAACGGCCCTTTCACAGGGGTCGCCTAAGACCATCCTGCATATCAGATATTTACATTATGACTCATTACAGTAGCAACATTACAGTTCTGAAGTAGCAACGAAAATAATTTTATGGTTGGGTCACAACATGAGGAACTGTATTTAAAGGGCCAGAAGGTTGAGAACCACTGCTCTAGATTTACAAAAACTGACCAACATTTAGTTTTAGACACTAAAATAAGTATGAGTAATGGAAATATCGATGACCAAGGACCATAAACTCTTAAAGGTTATGGTTTGAAACAAACATGAAAACCATTAAGAAATTCTAAGCACAGTGAAAAAGAAATGTTTACAATTCTTTTTAGCAGTAGGGCTGCTTGGATTTCAACTAGGATCGACTTGTTTTATTATCTGAGATATAATGACCAGATTCTGTTAATAAAGAAAAGTTATTCCTTAAGTTAGACTCTAAATATTTGGGTTGTCTTTTTCCAGTGCTTTTTACATTTTAAAAACAGAAAACAATTTAGAATATTTTCTTTCTTTAAACAAAAAGTTGTGCTTTAAATTTGGCCCAGAATTTTCCTATTTCCCTGTGTGCACACACACACAGACTGACAACCGCATTATGCGGAGGCAAAGCTTGGACATTCCTGAGAGACCAATGAATCATCTTAATTTGAAGGTTTAAGGAATAATTTTGTCTAGGTTTTTATTGGGGCAAAACTGAGACCGAGAGGAGGTCTTTGAGGCCCATCCAGAATCACACTTCCGGTAGCTGCACATCTGGGCCAGAGCCTTGGTTTCCTGTGAAGCAAACTGGATTCGAATGACCTGGGTTCCAGCATGGACTTTACCAGCAGGGCAACCAAAGCAAGCGCTTAATTCCTCTGGACTTCACTGTTCTCAGTAGAAAATCCTGGAAGTGGTTTCCACCAGGGTAAGCTGGACCATTCCTTGGAGACATTGGAAACGTGGTGGTGGGTGTTTCCACTTCCTGCAGTCACTGGAGGGTGCTGCTGGCACCTGCGGCCCTCCCAACATGGCAGTGTGCCCCCTCCCCCCACCCCTACTGGAAAATACTAGTGACCCATTACCAGCTCAGGATGCTTTTTCTGGTAACTTTTTCTTTTTTTAAAAAATATTTCTTTATTGATTTGAGAGAAAGGGAGAGGGAGAGAGGGATAGAAACATCAATGATGAGAGAGAATCATTGATTGGCTGCCTCCTGCATGCCCCACACTGGGGATGAAGCCTGCAACCCGGGCATGTGCCCTTGGCTGGAATCAAACCCGGGACCCTTCAGTCTGCAGGCCAACGCTCTATCCACTGAGTAAACTGGCTAGGGCTCTGGTAACTCTTTTTTGAATCCAACTCTATGAGGGGGGATGGCAGTCCCACTTAAATAGCTCTGTTGTTTGTTAAAAGTCACCTTTTGGAATTCCCATTTGGCATATCTGCATTCTATCTTTAGATCTTTAGATAGGAAGGATTATATTGGGTACAAGTAGAAAATACAGGCATCTCAAGAGGGCCAACATACAATTAAAAAAAACAACAACCAACAACAACACACCCCAAACTGATTTCCAAATGTGGAGTGCCATTAAAAAAAATGTTTAGCTGTATGATATAACCTTTTCCTTATATTCAGGTGTTTAAAAAATGCATTTATGTAATTTTGCTGTGGCACGACATATAATTGAGGGCAACATTTCAAGCTTAAGTTCCAAGTGTTTTGATATCTGGTCATTAAATCTTGCCTATGTTCATAATAAAGAAAACCACAAATGCCATAATGAAGCAGGGGCAAAAAAGGGAAAAAATGCACCCTAGGAATGATATCACAAGGAAATAAAAATACTGTATTCCTCTAAACAGATGTACTTAGAAGAGTTTTGTAACCCAAAGCGAGATATGGGAGATGGTTTAAGAAGAGGTTGCAATGTTGCGACAAGAAGTCTGCACCCTTCAGTAGCTGCGAAGGAAGGGCCTGTGCCTCAGACACTTGTTCCCAGAGGTTCCGGACACTTTTGCATCCCGGGCCCCACTATTCACAAAGTTAGGCATTTTGCAAGCTCAGAGCACACCTTGCTCCTCGTCCTTACGAACACCTGCCACGACATTTCATCCTTTCATGTGCAAATTCTAAAATTCATTGTAACAGAAAAGCTGCAAGTTGAGAATCCGTCTACAATTTGAAATGAAAGGATCAAAAATGTCAGACATTGCAGAACACTGGTTCCTAGCAGAGCTCTCTTTATTTGGTCACCGATCCTCAGTCATTTCTGTTTTGTTTGTTACAAAAAGCAGTCTTGACTCTTTAGTTAAACAGTACTTAAACTAAACTGCTCATGCCATGCAAAAATAACATTTTTATGCACTTTTTTGGGGGGAGGAGGCGAGCGTCCCATGTGTTAGTTCACAGGCATTTTTAACCGTAATTTTAAGAAACAAGTGTTTTTTCTTTTTTATTGCTTTTGTAACTAGTCACATGCTGGTCTCACGTGTGGGACAGTAACCTGTGTCTCCTGGGTTGGAATGTGTTTCTGGGGAGAACAAGTGGTTTTCCATTTTGCACCCTTCTTGACTACTGTCCTTTTTAACGTCGGCCACAGCGTGGTAAATGTCTTGCCGACAGTTGTGACCTGTGTCCTGGGGGGAGGAAGAGCCCGCACAGGCCTCTTCCCTTAAAGGGTCTCTCCCGTCGCTCGGCTTATCGGCAAAGCAGTTAGGGCTGGAGCCGGCCTGCGCGTCCTGCCGGGGCCCTTGCAGCTCTAGGAAGTCATCGTCTTCCCCAGTGTCCACCTCTGTGAAGCTCCTCCTCTCTCTCGATGGGAAAGGAAAGAGTTTCTGCTTGGGAACCCGGGGGCTCGGCCCTCGGGCGGGTCCCTGACAATGTGCGGAGACCTCAGTCCCCAGCAGGGGCCTGTCTCCCTGTGGGGGGGTTTCTTCTAAGAGGATGGTGCTGATGAGCTGTGGGGTGGTGATGGGAAAGTCAGCCACCGTGACCGGCAGAGGCCTGGCTGTGCTGGGTGGGGTCTGCGGGGCACTGCCTCTGTTCTCCTTGAAATTCACCTTGAACGACCTGGATTTCATGGGGTGGCTGCCCCTCAGAGAGCTCCTCGGGCTCTCGGGGGCACTGTCAGATGGCCCGGGGCCATGGAGCCCGCTTTGGGAACCGCTGGCATCGGGGTGCCCAGTGATATTGACCGGGACATATTCTAGGGAGGCATCCCGGGCCGCAGGGCCTTTCTCTCTGGCGAGTGTTAGGAAAGGGGGGCCCCTGGCTCTTTGGGGCTCCTCGGTGCCTGGGAAGTCGGGCGGGAACTTCATCTGCAGGTGAGAAGCGGAGGGCGGTGGCAGGGGCGACCTGTCGGTCTCGGTGAAGTCGGTGGCACAGCTGGTGAAGCTGTCGATGCTGGAGGTGCTCTTCATGTCCATGATGACCTCGGTCTGCGCCACGGCCAGCTGCTCCTGCGGGCACACCACCTCCTCCATCTCGATCTCCTCTTCGTAGGCTGAGGGCCGCTCGGGCTGCTCCTGGCCATCGGCGTTGGGGTGACAGTGAGGCTGGGTCTTGGTGATCTCGTTGTACAGCATCTCCAGCTTCTGCGCACTCAGATGCTGAGGGCTGGAGGTGGACGTGTTGTTCAGCTGCTCGTGGGAGTCTTTTTGGCTAACCTCCTGGTACTTGTTCTCGTAAGACTTGTTGGAGCTGGTTTCTGACAGAGCTTTCCTGGCCCACTTCCACCGGCTGGGAGACAGGTGATTGTCGTCGGTGGGGTCCTTTGTCTTGGCCGGCTCTCCTGTCTTCTCCACAGCCACGTCGATCAGCTCCATACTTCGAGCGAAGGCGTCTTTTAAGTTCATAGAGACGATGCTTCCATTCCTTTTGGCCCGCTCGAGAGCCTCTCTCCTTTTCACGGCCTTCTCCTGGCGTTTTTGCTCCTTGTAAAACTCAGAAAAATTGTTCACAATGATTGGGATGGGGAGGGCAATCACCAGAACCCCGGCAATGCAGCAGAGGCCGCCCACGATCTTCCCCAGCAATGTTTTTGGGTAGATGTCACCGTAGCCTACAGTGGTCATGGTGATGGTGGCCCACCAGAAGGATGCTGGGATACTGGTGAACTTGGTGGCATCTTCATCCTTCTCCGCAAAAAACACCAGGCTGGAGAAGATCATGATCCCCATGGCCAGAAACAATATCAATAAACCCAACTCGTTGTAACTCCGTCTGAGGGTGAAACCCAGAGACTGCAGGCCTGTGGAGTGCCTGGCGAGCTTCAGGATCCTGAGGATCCGCATGATGCGGAAGATCTGGACCACGCGCCGCACATTCTGGAACTGCAGCACGCTCTTGTTGGACTCTGTGAGGAAGATGGTGACATAATAGGGCAAGATGGCCAGCAAGTCAATGACGTTGAGTGGGCCTTTAAAGAACTTCCACTTGTTTGGCGAGGAGAGGAAGCGTAAGAGGTACTCCATGGTAAACCAAGCAATGCACACCGCCTCCACGTGTGCCAACTGGGGGTTGTCGCTGGCCTGTCCAAATTCATCCGTCTCCTGAAGCTCCGGGAGGGTGTTGAGAGACAGAGCAATGGTGGAGAGTACGATGAACAGGATGGACACAATGGCCAAGATCTGGAAAAGAGAAGAGAGCCCAAGTGAGCGAATCCTCTTGGAGACACGGGTTCACCATTCTTTAAAGGATACGGATTGCTCAAAGATATTCCAAGAAGGTAACTTTGCAACCTGAAATTCCCTAACTAATGCAAATACAGTCACTTTGTATGAGTTCATTGCACTTAGAAGCCTAATGTAGTATATACATTTAAATTCTAGGGCCTAAGTGATTTGAAAAACATCCATTCTTCCCTTCATTGTCCATTGTTTTTAGGCACATTTGTGGGAATAACCACCCCTTGGAATAGTTTTGGGGGAGTAATCATCTCTCCTCTCTTAGTTATTGGTAATTTTTTTCTCTTAATTCCCCGGTTTATGTTTTCTTAAGTGAATTGCTATAAGCTAGCAGGGTTTCATGATTTCTAGAAGTGTTATTCTACAACTAAAACCACAAATGCAGACCTACACTTGCAGATAATATGGCACTGGGCACGTGCTTCTCTTACAATGAATCCTATTTATGTGGTTAGCACTGGTGACAGAATTTTGTCAGGCAAGCCTTCATCCTGGGATGTGTGGGCTCTGGGCAGCCTCGTGTGGGGAAGGAAGATGATGAGCCAATTTCATTCAGTCCAGGAAGGTTTCACGAAGAGGAGCTTGAAGTCTGGTCCACGATGATCTGGGTGCAGGGCAGACGTAGGCAGAGGAGCAGCAGCCCGAAGTCAGATTCGGAAGGAAGAGGGAGGGCTCAATAATGCAGAAGACGAGGGTCAACTGAGTGGATTTCAGAGTCAGACATCCTGGGCTTGGACATGGTCTTTATCGCTTACTGTGTTATTTAACCTCTCTGGGCAAGTTATTTAACCTCTCTGTGTTTCAGTTTACAAAGCTGTCGAATGAAGCTAACAAGCACAGTCATTTCATGGTTGTTGTGAAGTTTACATGGCACACAGACATCTCTAAATAAATGAAAGCTCCTCCTGTTATTAGAGGCTGAAATGAACAGGACTTCGGTTTTGAAAGATGAAGGCCAAGAACAGGTATGTGGGGGATCTGTAAAACCATGTAAGATATAGGCAGTCCAACTGGCTTTCCTAAACTGAACCCAGTGTTCCAAGTTGATAAGGCAAAGCATGAAGATCAAAGTTTGAGGGCAGTGAAAGGAGGCACTTACTTGCTTAGTAAAGATTGTGTACCTAGAGCACTCAATTCTTGGAGGAGGAAGAAACTGGAAACCCTCCTTACCTAGTTAGGTCTAGCCTGGTTTCATCCACCTTTGTCAATGACCTTGGGAGGTGTCACTGCTCTCAGTTATTATTTGTACTTCTGACAGTGACTGCTTAGAGATTCAGCATCTAGTATACATTTCAAAAGACAATGATTAAACATCTTGAGGCCATACAGCTCAGTCAACATCAGACTGTGAAAAAACTAGTTTATCTCTAATTGACATCAGGACTTCCAAACTTCTTTCCTCTTGTTCTTCTTTCTCCCCCTTCTCTTTATCCTTCCAGGTTCTCTACTTCTAGGTCATTCTTCTTAGCTTTCCCCTTTCTCCCTCTTACGCCTCCTTTGTACCTTTCATTGTTTTCCCTTCCAGCTCCTAACTTTCTTTTTGCTATAAGTAAAACTATGGTATAATATATTTCAGAATGTGTTGCAGATGCTAATTAAAGATTTATGGTTCCTTAGTTTAAAGAAAAGTATTTAATTATTAGTTCTTTTGTATTTTTTCTCAAACAAAACTAAGTCCTTTTTACTTGAGTACACTTCAGATTTCCCTTTAAAAATGAGGATCAATGAATTACAATAAAGGTTCTCCTCACCTACTCTAGGAGAGTCTGGAGGCTCAAGTTAGAAATTCCCTCAAGAAGGTTTAGGCAAACCCATAGAGAATGGACTCAGGGGGTTTATTAAAGGCAAGTTGGGAACGCTCACCTCGAATGTCTACCCTCAGAGGCCAAGGGCAAAGTGACATTTACTATAGTTAGTCACTAAAATACTCCTTAGGAAGCATTGGTCAGATGCCATCCATTCTTAGGCTCTTACCATAAGGAACTAGTCCCTCTGTATTTTCTAGGAAGTCACACTGTTGCTAATATACCTTAGTATTGGGATGGCTGCCAGCATTCTTGTACTGACCATCCATAGTCTATATTTTCCCTATCTTATCTGTTCACCTGTCCATTTTAGATGTATTTTACTGATGTTTATCACTTCAGAGAGCAAGGAGAAAAGTAAAAATATAAATGAAAGCATTCTGTTATCTTCCAACCTTTTGGACAAAGAACAAAATGGAAGGTCCAAAGAGGACGTTCAGAATTCCTTAACTCCACAATCAGAGTGAGAATGGAGGTCATTTTACTTTGGTAGATAATTTGGGGAAATACTAAAACATTGTATTACTAATACAGTCTGTGGTCTAGTTGATGGCAATTTAATAAATATGGCTATCTTCAATACTTGAAAATTTAGCATGTGCACAAGCTGATTTGGAGTACATTCTTGAAGAAAATAATTACTACAGAAAAAACACACAACAGGTTCTCTGCTCCCCCTGTTCGTCAGACAGCCTCTCCTCCTCGCTGTGCCAGCCCACAACCCTGAGACACGATGGTGAAGGGTCGGAGTGAACGGAATTTGGCCACATTGGGCGCCTGGTCACTAGGGCTGGTTCTTAACTCTGGCAAAGGTGGATATTGTCGCCATTCAATGACCCCTTCATTGACCTCAACTA